TCACTATAGATTTTTGCAAATAGTATAAAGAGAGAGAGAACTCCAAAAACTATTATGAAGGATAGAGAGGTTTCTTCTACATTTTCGAGATCACCCACCTTTTTAATTCTCTCAAAATATTGTTTTCGAAAGTTTTTTATGTCAATGTTTTGATTTTCATCTTGGCTCTATTTTGTTAGAGGTTGTGATTCACAACAACACCAGTATAGTTGCATGCTCAGAGTTTCTTCTTTCTAGTGTGGCCGAGGGCAAATAGCAATAGAATTTGTAAAATTTTAAGTCGAAAGAGATTCAAGTTTTTAGATCTCCAATCAAAGTGCCAAGATGCACTCTAGCAAACGTGAATATAAAACAAGAGTCAATCGTCATCCTCTCCTTTTCTTTTAGTTTAAGTGAAGAAGTCATGCTAGTATCAATGTCAAATTCACTAATTCTATTTTCAACAATATTCAAAGCTGTTAACAATACTTTGCAGTTTTCGCATGTCTCAGTTGATGTGTGCTTGTTTTTGCTCGTGAGCGAATTTCCATCCTCTACAATAGCAACATTTTTTTTGAGCTACCACTTCTTGTCAACAATATAAGTTTCAAATGAAAGGGGATGGAAACTAAGCAGAATGTCCACAATTGATGGAAGATCAAGACCACACACTTCCAACATTTTGAAGGTACAGTGTTTATAGTTTATTATGGTGGGCATTTAGATTGTGTGGATGAAGCATGCAATCAAGATTGCTGTAGAAATTCTATATTTTTCAAATGGTCTACAATCAATTGTCTTGCCTGTGATACCATTACTGTTAGATTCATGTGTTGATTATGCAAACATGCTCCTCTATATTGTGCTATCAGCAAAGCTAGGATGTACTATTTTCTTTGTTAGGCACAAGGTCAGGATAATAGGATAAAGAATGGGCCCTGCAATCAAGTGATCACCCCTTTAGCCAGTTGGCTTAGGGTGTAAGGGATAGAATTCTAACATTGGTATTGGAGCCTAGTTTGATTTTCATGGCTGATGAGTGGGGCAAGAATATTCTAAAGGAATATTTAACATGGTGGATCTAGAGGGAGAACCAAGGTTTAGTAGACCCTAAGAGAAGGACCATGGTGACTGGAGGGTGGCTTAAATATAATCACAAACAATCATTCCTTGATGAGGGGAGGATTGTTAAGCACTAGATCAGGATAATAGGATAAAGAAAGGGCCTTGCAATCAAGTGATCACCTATTTAGCCAGTTGGTTTAGGGTGTAAGGGATAGGATCCTAACATTTTTCCACGGGATGGAATGGCTGGAAGAGTTGCAATATATGTTAGCACAGATATGCATTCAATACAAGAGATACAAAAAAGTTCTTTCAATTGTTCAAAGATGTTGTGTAGAAAGAAACTATGAGAAACTTATTTGCAACTCCAAAGCATGTTTAGAAGACTGTCCTCAAGGGTTTTATTGCAAACACCCTACTCAATCTAGAATACCAAAAGACTCAACTAAATAATGAGCTTATGGGACTTACTACGAAGAGTACAACCTACTTAAGGAGGTACATTTGTACATTACAAAAACATATTTTTCTTACATTATATTGTTTAGGATAAAAACTTGGATGTGTGAATCTCAAGAGGGAAGTTGCAATAAAAAATTGACTCCATCCTTGAACTAAAACGAACTTATCCATACGAATTCATCAACAAAAGTTTGTTTCTATACCAAGTTGTGAATGAGTAGGAGCACCCAAGATGTCTATAATGGGCTTTACCTTTAGTGTAGAATTTCTCTCCCAAATGGACATATTTAGGTTGACTTTGCAATGTAGGGGTATATTTTGACCATATGGAGCGTGTATTAGGTTTGACAACCATGGAAGCTCACATGTATCTAAAGTAATTTTTATTCTCATTATATTGAAATGGTTGTAATATTTGTGTTTTCATAGGCTACTTTGTAACTTGACAATTGCGATAACAAAGTTTAAAATACAAAACTTGATATTATGCTAAAGCAGATTGGAAGCTTATAAACTTTCGTTGTTTTATGGTAGATAGGGCTAGTGCAAATTAGAATGGTGTCCAAGCAATTTTCAGAAATGATTAACCATTGAAAAGTCATAAGAGGACTTGTGAGTTCTATTAGGCTCAAAGCCTAAACTAGCACTACTATCTTATCAAGCCAAAGTTTCAATCAGTGTTTAAGGAGTTATGCAAACAATGGCAATTTGCATCCTCTAAAGAAGTGTACAAGGCAAAGGCAAATGAAATCTAAATATGGTGGTGTGAAGATAGCTATACAAACACAAGTTGTATACTTCAATTTGAGTCATGGTTAGGGTGGTAAAAGCTAGGATGTTTTAGCAGGGACATCACTCTCTTTAGGTTGGTTGCTATTTTTCTTCTCATTTTATTGTTTTATAATATTACTTTTTTCATTACTTGAGGACCTCATATACACCCCAACTATGAATCTCTCTGAAAGTAAGCATTAGAGTTGGCATTTCTTAGAAGTAGGGAAAGGGAAGATGAGTCTATACAAAGTATGTCTATTAGATTTAATATGCACTATAAAGCAATTTTCAAAAGTGTTGGCATTTGAGGAGGGAAGATATATGGGAACAAGGCCTTCTGTTAAGATGTTATTATAAACTTCCGAGTTTAGACTTCCCGGAAAGTCATCCAACCCAGTACTATTCAAACTTAAGAACGCTTAACCCCAAATATCCCAAAACCCTTAACCAATTGGAAAAAGGACCTAGTACTATTCAAACCTAAGGATGTTTAACCCCAAATATCCCAAGACCCTTAACCGATGGGTTGCACTCTTGTTTATGGGCCCTTTCCCTCTATATTTGAACCTCATGGATTATTTCTTGAGTCATTACCTTTGGTTGCTTATAATCCACCACGCTTCCCTATAAGTTCACGCCATCATGAACGGAAGCTAAGAGCCGCAGCTCTCTCTCGAGCCCCACTCTCTTGACACTTTACCCCTCGGGTCAAGCCCAGCTGAAGCAAACTAGACCCTTGCCAGATGTCAATTAACAAGTAGTGTGATTCCCCTAACCAACTAACAGAGTCAGACTCGAGATCGCTCTGATACCAAATGTAAGCTACTGAGGTTGGACTTCCTAGGAGGTCACCTAGCCCAGTACTATTCAAACCTAACGACGATTAACCCAAAATATCCCAAGACCCTTAACCGATTGGAAAAGGGGGTGCACTGTTGTTCATAGGCCCTTTCCCTTTATATTTGAACCCCATGGATCATCTCTTGAGTCATTTTTTTTTGTTCTTACAGTTATATGATAGGATAAAGAGAAATTTAACTCCACCCACCTAAACAGTGGCAACTACAATTGAGGAAGTTGTCCACAACATATCTATAGAGTACACTCCTTGGGCTTCTATTAGTGATATGAAGACAGTTCACTCAAAGTATCACTTTTTCTTTGCTGGTGAAGATGTTGGCATAGACATTGGAGTATAAAACTCTCACATGCCTGATATTGAGTACCATTTTACTCTAAGACACTGCCCTCAGATAAAACCACCTCAAATCTGATAAAGAGAATACATCACAATAGGTTGAAATCACTTACTATATTATGCAACATTTAGTAAAAGCACAAGGACAACGAGAGTTAGAATTTGAATAGCAAATTGTGGAGTTCAACACCCAATATGAGAACACACTAATAAAGGTTCTAAAGAACAATTAAATCATGGAGGAGAGTTCCATATTATAGGAGCTTATGGTGTGGCAGCTTTGGACAATAGGGAAGCTAATTGAGGCAATCGTGTCAACTAGATCCTTGAAGAAAGAGTTGCAAGAAGAAGACTTTGCACTAGAAGAATAGGATCTTATGGAAGGAAGCGATAGGAGAAGAGGAGTCTAGGTAGAAATTTGAGGAGTTCACTAGGGAGGAGCTGGACCTGGGTGATGACTTAGAGGACACTATCAGCAAGCTAGAAGACAAGGATGACGACATCTTAGAGGATGCAGAGGCATTGCTTGAGCTTGGGAAGACAACCAAGGAGCAAGTGTAGGATGAAATCACCTATTGAGCAGGTGGCAAAGATAAGGGTATGGGAAGCCAACATTGAGAGGATGTTGAAACAAAAGGAATCTAGGATAGGTTTAGAGATTCCCACAAAGTAGTAGACCCTTTGATTAATTTTGTGAAGTAATCATTGTTTGTTTCTCTCACAGCTAGCTAAATTTTCACTTGGTTGTAGTGCAATGCAATGGAATTGGCATAGCATATCACCTCCTGGCCTCAATGTTGGTAGAGACATTGTTGGATTGAAGACAGCTACAAACCCAAATGTATTTTGCAGGTTAAGATAAGGTGCCACCTTTTCTTGGTTGGGAAAAGTTTCCAATGAACAAGATTTCTTAACATCTTAGTGTGAGGAGATTTGTGGCTAGGATTTGCATGTGCATCAGATTAAAAAGCTCATTGGGTCCTTAGATCTTTGTCTAGAACTTTAGTACTCTCATTGACTTTGTGCTTCTACATTATTGGAGGAGCTCACTTCGTAGCTAGCTACGTGGTGGAATCAGGGCAAGTTCGACCGTTACCCCTTCCTAGGTAGCACAGATGATCCAATATTGAAATTGGAGTAGACTGATTTCTAGAAACCTGTAGACTACTCTCTGCTGTAAGTTATACATGTTGTTCTAGGAGCTATTAAAAATAAGGCCCTGCTACCACTAAGCATTGGCAATGGCTACAAAAATTCTGATGTGTGTAGCTAACAGAAAATTCTCTTTCATAAAGTGGCAAAATGCTTTGATTATACTGTTGATGTGGGCATGAGGGAGTTGGGATTTACACTCTCACTATCATACCCTATGTGTTGTCTAATTTCAGACCCATCTCTCATCACAATGCATATGAATATAGTATCAACTACAATATTCCAAAAGAGCATGGGCTCGAATGCTCATGCACCACAAAAACTTTTTTGTGGTGTATGAGCACTCACCACACATTCAGCACAACACTTAAAAATGATATAGTGAGTATTGGTAAAAGATATTCACGCCCATTAGGTTAAGATACATATCTCTTTCTATACAGGACAATTGCACACATTAATACTTTGTGCAAACCATTGATGGTGCTTGTCAAACCTCCTGGTTACCTTTTTCGCTTCGTGGCACCTTTAGAGCGTGTTCTTCCAACCTGTCCTTGGGTTTTAGAGCGTGTTCTTCCAACCTGTCCTCGGGTTTTAGAGCGTGTTCTTCCAACCTGTCCTTGGGTTTTAGAGCGTGTTCGTCCAACCTGTCCTCGGGTTTTAGAGCGTGTTCTTGGTGGTGCTCTTCGCTCAGCACCCCGTGGATTACCACTAGGTTCGTAGGTTGGATCAAAAGGTTCTCTCGTTTGTTTTCCTCTCCAACTCCAACTTGCAGCTGCTAGCATTGATGTGTGCCTCACGGCACTAAATAAACCTACACATACAACATAAAAACATAAAAACCAAT